TGCCATGAGGCTTTCAAGATGTATTTTTCCCTACTCAAAAATACTTGAAACGAACATGGCTGTGATACAGCAAAGAGATAGGAATATGAATTCTTTGGAAGCAGATCCTAGTTGCATAGACATGGTAGCTGGGTTCATCCGTTGCACCCTGCCCAAGTTTGAGTGTTGCATAAACTCGTGATTGTGATTTCTAAACAACGATTTTATGACTTACCAGGGTTTGTGAAACTCCCCAGTTTGATTTATTTAGCCTACTGTGATTAAAGTATGGCTTAGCATGATGTACGGAATTAATCAGAACATTGTGAGCAGCAATAAACTTTGTGCAGAGAATAAGGAAGATGACCTGGATGGAGAGATGCAGGATGCATTGCCAGGAGAGCCGGGGGGGGGGGGAGAGAAGGGGGGGAGGGAACATATTTTAAGTCCACAACAAATAGATAATATTTGGAAGCAGTTCAGGCAGACTCTTCCTAATTCACAAGACTATAAGAAAGGGGAGGCGGTGCAGCACAATCAGGTCTGCAGGATTTTATTCTTGTAGCCAATCTCAATAAAATAGTTCCAGCCTTCCTGTGGAGTTGATTTCTTGGCCTGATCCACCTAGGAAGGCCGTCGTTTATTTTTTTGGAGGGGTGTGTGTGTTACATTTAATCCTAAAAACTGGTTGTTCTGGGGCAAAAGTCTGTCCTTAAGCCCCCTTCTTTAGTCTGTAGAATGGCATGGTAAAAACCCAGCTCCTCAACCTTGGCAACTTTTAAGACTTGTGGACTTCAACTCTCAGAATTCCTCAGCCAGCTTTGCTGGCTGAGGAATTCTGGGAGTTGAAGTCCACAAGTCTTAAAGTTGCCAAGGTTGAGAACCCCTGACCTAGTACCATGATTTGAAAACAGATTAAGTAGTACAGGTAATCCTTGACTTTCAACGGTTCATTTAGTGACCATTCCAAATTACAATGGCGCCCAAAAAGTGACTCAAGACAGTTTTTCACACAACTGTTGCAGCTTCCCCAGGGTCACATGATCAAAATTCAGCCGCTTGGCAACTGACTCATACTTACGACGGTTGCCGTGTCCCGGGGTTATGGGATCCCCTTTTGTGACCTTCTGACAAGCAAAGTCAATGGGGAAACCAGATTCACTTCACGACAGGGTTATTGACTTAACAATTGCAGTTATTCACTTAAGGACTGTGGCAAGGAGGGTCGTAAAACAGGGCAGAACACACTTAACAAACATCTCGCTTACCGACAAAACTTGGGGGCTCGATTGTGGTCGTAAGTCCAGGGCTACCTGTGTTAATAGAATCTGTGCACGATTCTGGTTTCCTTTTGAGCAAAGCAAGATGAAAAGCGGGGGGTTTGGCCGGGTCCCCTTCCTAATTTATGGACCGAAAGATTCTTTCCCTTCAGCCTCAGCCCAGCTTCCAACCGCATTTGCAGCTCGTGACATGATGAAACCATAATCCGCGCACAGCTGTTTTAATATCTGAGGGCTGGCCCTTGCCCAAGACTTCTGAGAAACAGCAAAGCAAATTTGCCAAAAGGAGAGAAATGGCAACCACGTGCCCTCAGTCCCTTGCCAGATCACTCCAGCCCCCTCGCCCCAGCGCGAACCCGCCCCTAATCCTTTCACGGAGATCCGAATTTCAAATGAATCTTTCTTGGCAGCAGATTTTCTTGAATAAAAACTCAATATCTTGCGGTGTCCTCATTGGGAAGAATTTAGAAAGGGTTTTTTTTTTTCTCTTCTCCCCCCCCCCCCAATGAACAGCTGTTGCTGTGGCTGGCCGGGAAACTCAAAGCAATCAGAGGTCTCCAACCTTGGCCAATTTTAAGACTTGTGGACTTCAACTCCCAGAATTCCCCAGCCAGCGCATGCTGGGAGTTGAAGTCCACAAGTCTTAAAGTTTGCATGTTCTAACAGCATCCCATGGCTGGACCGCAAGAGAGAGAGAGAAATGGCTGGGTTCAGCTGACTTCATTAGGCATTGCCCTTTCAGAGACAAATCAGACTTCTCTTGTCAACAGTATTTTGCTCCAGGTATCAAAAGAAAAAAACAACCCAATCAGTCTGTTGTTGTGTTCCCCACCATTTCTGTCTCATTCTACTTTCCCATATCTGGGACAAATTTAGATGTGACTTGGTTCAGTGTTTTAAAATCAGCTGGGGAACCTGGAAATTTCTCTTGATAAAACTTGCAGCAGTCCTTTACAGGAACCCCAGAAGAACACTGTTAAAAAATATTCAGGTGTAAGGTGGAATTCAATATTGCAGGAGCTGAATTGTAGTAACTCTAGAAACTGGTTTTGTTCGAACTGAATGCACTTCCGAGTCTTATTTTGTGCTGAGAAAGAGATCCTATAGTTCTGCATAAGTTCGCAAACGTGTCCGTATAGATTTCTTAATCCGTTTTACTATGAATACTTTTTCATGAGTACAGTAAACAAGCGGTTTAAGCATGAATTAAAATGCTAAAAACAGGAGACATAATCCAATCCAACATGAGCACTGCTGAGCCCTGTCTGTTTTAGGGTGCTTAACTCTCACGAAATCAGTGGTGGCTAAAACCCCTTCATCGTGACTGCATTGATCTTAATCTAATGAGAAAAGTCACAACATTATCCCAAACTGAATGCTCTTGTTAATTTTAATCCTGAGAAACTTTCTCCCAAAGACATGACGACAGTGGTCTCCAGCTGAGAATGGAGATTCTCAGTCATCCAGGTCATGGTTGTCCCAAGAGACAACTGGGCTTTGTTTTTCCTTGAAGATGTTTCGCTTCTCATCCTAGAAGCTTCTCCAGTCAGAACTGAAGAAGCTTCTTGGATGAGAAGGGAAATGTCTTCAAAGAAAAACAAATTAAGTCCAGCTGCCTCTTGGAAAAGCACCTTAGGGCATTTGGTAATTGTGTAATATGGGTGCAGTCACTGCCATCTCTTCTCCGTTCTGGTTCATCTTGAACAGCTTTCTCCAGCTCTGTCTTCTAGATAGGTTGAATTCCATCACCATTACCTAAATTTGCTTTCTGTTAAGTGTCAGAATCTGGAGTAAGTCATACAATATAGTCCGGAGATCGCAATGCAAAGGAGAGAAAAAGCAATATCTAAACCAGTGGTTCTCAACCTTTTTAATGCCGCAACCCCCCCAACCGGTCGTAAGTCGAGGACTACTCAACCAGTCATAAGTCGAGGACTACTCAATGGGTGCAGCACCATTTGCAGAATGGGACTTTTGGCGGGCTCAGCGGGGCAGAGACAGCCTGGACAATTCCTATTGGCTTTTGAAAGCCAATAGAATTAGACTCTATTCAAGAGAGTCTATTCTATTGGCTTTCCAAAGCCAATAGAATAAAAGGGAGTAGCACAGCTAAGGAAAAAGGGGAAAAAAATGGCGGACTGCGTTGTTTGGCGATCCCCGTGAAATGGTCATTCGACCCCAAATGGGGTCCCGACCCACAGGTTGAGAACCACTGCTCTAGACCCTCTAGAAATGCCCCCCATAATATCAGTGCTGCAGTATACAGACTCTGGCAGATTACACACACAAAAACAGTTAAAAGAGAAGGAAGGACTCCCTGGAGAAGGGCCTAATGCTGGGAAAGATGGAGGGCAATAGAAGAAGGGGACGACAGAGAATGAGATGGCTGGATGGAGTCACCGAAGCAGGAGGTGTGAGCTTAAATGGACTCCAGAAGATGGTAGAGGACAGGAAGGTCTGGAGGAACGTGGTCCATGGGGTCGCGATGGGTCAGACACAACTTCGCAACTAACAACAACCAGGGGAATCTGGACTAAAGCAATCCTAACAATAACAAACAAAATATTGGATATATTGGTTTAGGTATGCTATGTTTCACCAGTAATAAATATTTCTAAGACAGAAGAACATGTTTAGTTTTTCGAAACTGTAACTTAAACTGATTTCAGTTCTGGACCTATTGGATTTTGTCAAAATTAACTGCTGACTGGGCATGCATAGATTTACACTTTTATACTAAAATGATGATTAAGATTTCTTTAATGCGCTGATAGTTTAAAAAGTAGGCATTGGAGGAAATCAGCTCTTGTTTGTTCATCTCTTAGGACTGTCTTTGAAGGTGATTGCAGTCGTATTTAGTGTCACGATGATGTGCTTTGGAGTCAGCATTCACAATAAATTGACGGAAAAACACATTATCTCTTCCTGCATTGCATATGTACAAGTGCATTTGGGGAGTTTTCAGGTTAGCATCTAGTCCAGGGGTCTTCAAACTTGGCCCTTTTATGACTTGTGGACTTCAACTCCCAGAATTCCTCAACCAGGCACGTGTGCCTAGCTGAGGAATTCTGGGAGTTGAAGTCCACAAGTCATAAAAGCGCCAAGTTAGAAGACCCGTGATCTAGTCAGTCTGAGCTGCAGCCAGGAGAGCCTCAGCCTCCAATTGCTAAGGGCTGTTGTCTGCCCGTCAGTGTTATTGTGTGCAAAGCAATCAGGAAAACAAAAAACCCCTGTGCTTTGAAGATCAGATGGGCATTTCTTTTTGTAAAAAATGCTCATCTGTAGACTCCTTTCGTCAAAAAGCTCGTACGTAGATATTAGTGGAAGAAGATATAAACAAGACTTGTGATAAAATTAAGGACCTAGTATATATCTGGAAGGGATATCTGAATTGATAATGTGTTTATTTAAAGTTAAATTTGATTATGATAATTGTAAATTTATAAAGCTCTAAAACAGGTTTAGGATTAATAGAAATTTAAATTAGAAATGGATTATCTTAAATATATTAAGCTATTTGAGGGAAATAGAGAAGGAATATTTGATGTATTGATTTGAATTATTCATATATGGTTTTATTTCTGGATGTTTGATTACCGCAGCACCACGATGTGTCTTGAGCACTTTGTTCTAAGAATTAAAAAAACAATAAAATTTGTTTTAAAAAAAAAAGCTATGTGCTGGATGACAGGTAGTGAATATGGTAGTCCTCATGAGACCACCGTTTTTGATGTTTTGCAGAATCAGATTTGTATGAACTGACGGATCTCCTTCAGTTCAGCCCTACGCCCTGTTTCTGAATGATGACAGAACAGGATTTAGCGGATGTAGTTCAAATAGCTGTGGAGGACTTGAACCCAGATCATCCAGGTATGTTAAAGAACCCAGCCACCCAATTTGTGTATTTCATAGTATGTGTTGCATAGAAAATTAAAGATGTAATGTAACAAAAGTTCTTTCTTCCTGACACTGAGTAAAACAACAGTGTGGCAACCTCACACTTAGGTTGCTTCGCTGCCTCTAGTTTTCTACCTGTCCCGAAAATCTGATATTTTATTTCTAACTTTGTTTTAAGACAGTAAACAAGGCAATGGATCCTATAGCAATAGATGGGAGCATGCAGATGAGTTACTGTAAACAAAGAGGACGGCCCCATCTATCAAATCTATTTAAGGAAGAGTTCTTCCACCTAAATCCCCCCAGATGTGTTGAGCCAATTCTCATAATCCCAGCTCTTCTTTGTCTGTGGTGGATGGGCTATCAAGGAGATTAACGTCTCAAACTTCTGTCTGCTGATCCACTGCTGAGATCTAGTCAGTGTTTCTCAGCTTTGGCCACTTTAAGAGATATGGACTTCAACTCCCAGAATTCCCCAACCAGCAGGGCTGGCTGGGGAATTCTGGGAGTTGAAGTCCACATGTCTTAAAGCTGCCACAATTGAGAAACACTGCTCTAACAAACAGGTAAACCTAGCTGTGAAAACAAATTTTGGGATAATTTTCCAGCACTTCCTAGAGCTTCTAGGACACTTCTTCCCATCCAGTGTGTTCCTTTTCCTTTTAATTTCATAACCAAGGGCCTTTGATGGAGCTATTAAAACTGGTTTGCTTCTTTCTGTTTTTTGGGCTTGCAGTTGTCTTGGAAAACCATGAAGTGACAGACGAAGACGTAGACCCCCCTTTGAAACGGCAGCGGATAGAAATCAATTGTCAGGACCCGTCAATTAAGGTTGTAGCCATGTACCTGCTTGCTCACACAATGCAGCTAATAATGGATAGATATGTTTTGTGATGGTTTAAGGTGATTTGAACCACAGGGCCCACTGAGTGTCCTTTAGGTCAACACATTTGCAGGGCACATTTGGAGTTGGCCAAAGGTCCTGAAGATCTGAGATAGCCTTTATCTTGGAAAGCTCTGAGGCTTCTTCCCTAGTACAGGGAGTCCCCGACGTATGACCAGTTTCAAGTTATGAGGAACCTCAAAAAAGGTACTCGCACCCAGATTCAAAGTTCCGATGGCCGACTCCCCCCCTGTGGTTGTACGACCCTATTTAGTAACCAGCCTGCATTTGCAGTCTCCCGTGATCATGTGACAGTGATTTATGATTTTTTTTGCTGATTTCTGGCAAAAAAATGGCCATTGTGGACAGTGGGTTCACTTAACGACCAGTGTGTTCTTAGTGACTGCAGGTTCGCTTAACACTGGGTGTTTTGCTTAATGACCACTGCAAAAAAAAGTCATAAAATTCTGTCTGTCACCTGATAACCTGCTTAGTGACTGGCACAACTTACTATCATAATTCCTATAAGTCAAGGAATACATTTGGCACATATTATCTCCGCAAGACACAGGAATCCATCTTCAAGTTACCAGTGTATATCAGATGCAAGAATATATAGGGGAAAAATCATGTTAGCATAATTAGGGAAAACTCCTGACTGAATAGTGGAAAATATTTTTCCATGAATCAGAGAAGATTCAAAGTTAATAATTGTATTTTCCCTTAGTCTCTGTGAGAATTACTAAGATCTTCCCTATATAGTATATTCTAAATAATTTTTGATTGTATCAAACAATGAACCTTGTGGCTGCGTTGACAGCTTTTTAACTAAAAAAGCAGGATAAAGAAAATGTATTTATTGCACATTTATGTAAGTGAGCAATATGCTTAACACGAATCTTCACTATTCTGCAGAATTTCCACTAAGAAGATTAGAAAAACTTTCAGTTTAAGTTCAGAGATTGCTGACTTATAATGAAAATTAGTCTAAAAATATAGTTAGATGTTTTCTAGAGTTGAGTGTTTCATCTTCAGAGTTTGTAGGTAATTTGAACTCAGTTTATTTTATTATTTTAATCATGTCCACCAGAGGGTGCACAAGAAGTATTTTAAAAGAAACCCAGTGCCATCTAGGTACAAATCAAAGCAAAAGCTATATTTTGTTGTAAATAATTATCTCATGTTTTTTGAGTGGAATGCTTATTAAAAAATAGGCCCATAATCATCTAGGTACGCTTTAGAACTTAAAGCGAATTTACATCCCTCCTTTTCAGCTTTGTTTCCAGAAATACCCAAGGCAAAACCCTTGAGCAGGTAATAATCCTTTGAATTGAAGATAGGTCTATGATGACAGCTGAAATAATAGTCAAACTGGAACAATGTGGGCTTCATTCCCTTGAATCAAATGTGTTTGTTGAAAAGGATGCCACCAGATTCTTGATTTGGGGCCACCACAGATTCAAAGACTCTCTTCCCAGAACGTAGGAGAGCTCTTTAACCCTTGGCTAGTCCATCAAAGGGTTGTTTTTACCCCAGACAAGCTCTGGGGATATGTGTGCTTTTGCTGTTCCTTGGTGCCCTTTGCAGATGCCTATGTAAACGCAAGCACACAGCACAGCCTCCTCATCCCATCCGGCTCATTCTGCTGCTTTTCTTCCCCAGTCCTTCCTGTATTCCATTAACCAGACCATATGCCTGCGACTGGATAGCATCGAAGCCAAGCTGCTGGCCCTGGATGCAACCTGCAAGTCCCTGGAAGAGAAACTGGATCTTGTCATGAACAAGCAACATAGCCCCATTCAGGTGCCCATGGTGGCAGGATCCCCACTTGGGGCAACCCAGACATGCAACAAAGTGAGATGGTAAGTCTCCAGCTGTCACTGCGTGCCTCTGCTGTTTCCTGTTCAATCTGTCCCAGTCAAGCAAGGCAGCTTTTGAGTATCTATCAGGAACTTGGTGTGCAGCTTTGAATGAGAAACCGTTTTTCCCCCTTGAAGGCAGAAAAAACAGTGTTCTTTGCCCTGTGACCAACTAAACACATTTCCTTACCTTGGGATGATGGGCTTGGAGGTCTTACCACATTTTTCCTTGGCTTGGCCTGTTTCTACAGGATATTGTAGATAAGCTGATATAGCAGCCTTGCCAGTTTAAATTTAGGGCACAGCCTCTGGGGATTTTGTTTTGACTTTGGGAATAAAGAATCCAACTTCCTTAGAGTTTAAACATGTTTTTAACCTCTCTGATTTTGGAAATAACCTCATGATTAACTGTGATTATTTATGCTTCCATGGCGTTGCATGTTTGAGATGTTAGTAATATGTAACCCACCTATGGATGATTGTTGGAACCGCTTCACATAGAATCAGCATATCCTCTAACTCAGGGATTTTCAAACTTGGCAACTTTAAGACTTGTGGACTTCAACTCCCAGAATTCCTCAGCCAGCCAGGCTAAGGAGTTGAAGTCCACAAGTCTTAAAGTTGCCAAGTTTGAAGACCCTGCTCTAACTACTGATGCTCTGTAAATGTTGCTAAAGGCTCCCTTGGGTCAAACTCAACCTCCATGATTATAGCACAGCATTTCTCAACCTTGGCTGCTCCAAGGGGATGGCTGAGGAATTCTGGGAGTTGAAATCCACACAACTTTAGCGCCCAGGTTGAGAGACACTTTTATAGCGATACCCCACCTTGTTTTTGTGGCAGCAGCACAGGAGTTGTTTCCCATGTCAGCACTGCACCTCTTTTTTTATGAAGAGTTGCTTATGGACAATAACAACAACAACTTGGAAAAAGTGAATATATTCATAGTCGAATATAACTTACCCTCTCTTTTGGAAATCCTCACTGATTTTTTTTTTATTTTTGAAACAGGAATCAGGACAGTTTCCTGTAGAGAGAGATTTGTTTCTCGTAGAGCAAAATATTTGAAATTTCAGTTTCCTTATTGTTGTTGTTGTTGTTGTTGTTAATTGCAAAGTCGTGTCCGACCCATCGCGACCCCATGGACAATGTTCCTCCAGGCCTTCCTGTCCTCTACCATCTTCTGGAGTCCATTTAAATTCACACCCACTGCTTCAGTGACTCCATCCAGCCACCTCATTCTCTGTCGTCCCCTTCTTCTATTGCCCTCAATCTTTCCCAGCATTAGGCTCTTCTCCAGTGAATCCTTCCTTCTCATTAGGTGGCCAAAGTACTTGAGTTTCAACTTCAGGATCTGGCCTTCTAAAGAGCAGTCGGGGTTGATCTCTTCTAGTCGGGGTTGATCTCTTCTAGAGATCTCTTCCTTATTGTAGATAACCTTTAAGGCAGGTTCACTTAAAGTGCTAAATCTTGGTTTGTTTTAACCATGGATTTTTTGAAAAGATGGCTGGGTGCACACACATGAAACCAAAGCCAAACAGCCAAACCCAGCTAAAATATAGACATCCTTCTCTTTAACTTCATAGAAAACAGATGGCAGGGTATGTTAACATCAGCATGATGATACACTTTTTAAAAGTGGTTATTTTTATGCCAACTCTTCTATGGGAGTGTGTTTAAATCTCTACCTTGCTTTTGTTTTTGATAGGTTTGCTGAAAATGTGTTTTGATATATAGATCTTCATTAGAAACTGAACAAAATATGTCCAGTGAGTGTTATCACAGATTTTAGTAATTAGAGTTGATTGCATCTTTGATGGATTTAGTCTGTGCCTCAGGGCTGAATTTTGCCTAATGAAGTGTTGATGGGTATTCTGAAGTTGTTTATGTCTCACCAAGGGAAATATTTTTGTGAAAAATGCTTTTCCCCCAGGTGCATAGAACAGTTTTGTGAGATGAGCTATATATTATAAATAATGATGTGTAGTCTTGCTCTGATTTTGTGTTGCCATTAACAGCTGTGTTATTTCATGGGTTCATCATTTATCATTAGTGTGCTAACAAGAGTTTATTATAAATAAAAGTTTCCAAAGGAGAAAATAGAAATATATTCTCTGTAAAACCAAAACAATGCTAAGATGGGACAAAGAAGAAAAAAAAATATTTTCAAAAATCTTTCCTTAGATTTATATTCAGTCCTAAATTGCTTTGCCCTGTGGTAAATAAACTGATTAGGGATTTTATCTTCTAAGATGTTATTCTTTTTAGATAGCAACTCAACTTTGCTGCAGATAAATAGACAGAAGTCACATCTCAAAAGTATCATCCAATTTTTCAGCTTGGTTTTCCAGTCTGTAGTATGACGGCAATACATTTTTTATTTTTGGTATGACTTCTCGATCATCACCATACAGAAAAGCAGAGAAATAGCTGGAAGTGGCTGGACTGCTGAAAAATTCCTGGATATTTGTTTTTGTCAATATATGACATACTCTCCTTCATGTGGCATGCCACAAAGTCACTAGGCTGATCTGTGAAAGCTGCTTCCAACCCTTTTCTAACATGTCTGAATGTCTCATCTCATAGGGTTTAAAGACACCAGTGCATTAAGGTTAAAGTTTTGCAATGGTAACTATAAACTGCGTTTGGAGAGAAATGTCTGTCTTTAATTCATCTCGCTTAGTTCATTTGCCCAGGGGGTGAGGGTGGACTGATCCATCAGCATTTGTGGGGAAAAAAGAGGACAAAGAAGCACATTGTAAGGGGATTCCCCAGCTGAGGAATTCTGGGAGCTGAAGTCCACAAGTCTTAAATTTGCCCAAGTTTGGAGACCCTTGGTATAAGGTCACAAGTGTGCAGCTGGAAGAAACTTATCTCCAAGAAAACAAAATGCAAAAAGTGTGAGGTTTAAGTAAAAGCAGAGACTATTAAAAATAACCTGTGCTCCCATGTATTCTCTCTGTCTCGCTAGTCAAGTTTGCATCCTTTGAGTCCAAAGGCACAAATGTGATTGATTTATTTGTATTGCTGAATTGATACAATGAGATGAAAACAAATAAGAATAACCTTGTTACTTTGCAGCAAAATCATTTTGTAGCATCTTAAAGACAAACCCTTGTGGCAGCCTTTACAAGGGTTAATGCTGCTCTTAAACGATATACAGTATATATGCTTAGGGTTATTTTTAAAAAAATATGCATTAAATTTTCAGCTCTGCCTAGTTTATTTCATCTTTGTTCCTCTTCCTTCAGTCTGCCTGTTCTCCCCATAAATTTTTCTGGCCGTGGTTGTCTTTAATTTCTTAGGAGTCTGGCTCTAAAATTATCTTACTCTTCAAGAAAATATGCTGAAAGTTTCTTCCAGCATGGAAACTGGCAAGAATATGGTCTTTTCACTTCAGCATGACATCAGACGTAGCCATCACAGTGGGTTAGAAAATGCATTGTGGCATCCAGACTAATGATCTGGGAATTCTGGTCCAGGTTTTTGGGCCACGGTGCAAGAATGGTGAAGTCAGGCTTCTTTGCCTGATAAATTTGTCTTTCCTAAGCAACCTTTCACCAAAATGGCCCATCAGTGCAGCCCCTCTAGGCAGATGTTCCTTAGACTCATCACCTCTTGCCCTTGGTCCTCTCTTCTAACTGATTTTATCAGTTTGCTGATAATCTGTAAAGGCATGATGAACTAGAAAAAATATTGGTTCCCTGGGTGAGTCTAGAGTCGTGAGATAATTGCCTCTACAAATGTTTAATTCACGCCACATTTATCCTAATTGGAATTGTTTCACTTTTACATCTTTCATATATAGAAGAGGACTAACCATTGGGATTCTACACTATTTTGGCAACAAAACCAGAAGTCCAGATTTCTGTGCTGAAGTTGACATCCAATCTGATTTGTAATATCTCCCCTGTCCTTTATAAACTAGAGGGTACGAAAGGAGGAATATATTAGGAAGATGAAGTTATTTGCTTGCTTATCAGCTGGAGTTTGCCTAATAAAAGGTCCTTATTCACTGACAAATTTAGAACATCACATTGGAGTTTTGAGAGGAATTCTTTCCTAGTAAGGAAGTTTAGAATATCATCCTGTATCTACAGAAGTCCTCCTTTCCTACCTACTACCATTTAGATCAGAGACCTCCAAATATGGCAATTTTAAGACTTGTGGACTTCAACCCTAGTGCACTAGTTTTCTAGAATTCTGGGGGTTGAAATCCACAATTCTTAAAAGTCGCTGAGTTTCGAAGATTCCTGATCTAGATGACACCAGAGTGCCAGAATTTCTGCTAACAAGACTAGCAGAGCTATCAGGGAGTCTTAAGTTTCATTAGTCAACCTAAAAGAGCATTTGCACTTGCCTGCAATTTCCTAGGTATTAAAATACACTTCCCACAATACCAATTTCTGAAGCTTGAGCTTGCATTGCGTTCTCCTGCCACACGGAAGCTTTCTCTATTTTAAAATGTGACATTGAGTCTAAAAATATCTCTGTGTGCCCATCAGAATTGTAGACTTGACTGTTTGACTAAGAGAATTGTACATCCTTTCCTGCTCAGATTTTATCTGCCCATAAGGCAAACTTGTTCCATCATTTGCCATGAAAAGATGTTAATAACTTATGTGTGTTCAGCCGAGTGTCCCTGAGAGTCACTTACAGGCTTTATCTAGTCAATGCTTACTTAGGCAGTCACCCATCAAAGATGTGTAGTGACAATCTGCAGCCCTCTGAAGCACGGTCTATGTGAGTTTTCTAGGTGTAGCTGCGTGATACGAAGCATAACTTGTTCTGATGATTTGTAGATTGGGTGTGTTGGATTTTGATTAATGGGAGATATCTGCTGTCGGTCTCTGGCATGCCAGCTGGAATGGTTTTGGGGCTCAGAAGCAAGAAACAAGACAACGTTTTGGTAGTTAGAATGGATTCCATTCCATTCCAGTCATTCAGAATCTACTTTCCATGAATCAAAAAGATTGTGATGCCGTAACCTTAAACATCTCTCTCTCTCTCTCTCTCTCTCTCCCTCCCTCCCCCTCCCTCCTCCCTCCACTTCCCCCCTCCCTCCTCCCTCCTCCCTCTCTCTCTCCTCTCTCCCCCCACCCAAGTCTGGTCATTTATTCAATCCTTTCTCATTGTCAATTCACCCTAAACAGACCTACATCATTCATCTTCAAACGTTCTTATGAGCATCCAAAAGGTGCTTTTTTCAAAAGCAATTAGATCTTCATTTCCCATGTTTGGTTTATTTCCATGTTTGGTTTACAGTAGGACAAAGAGGGCAAAAATATTATATATAAGCTGAGCTCTTTGATGCTGAAACCAAAAGGATTGCACAGGTTAGGAAATCAGGTTGAAATCCAACTTTTGGGCACTATCTTTCTTGTAATGTACTCATAAGTAAGATTAGCCTGACACAGAGGGTGGTGTTTTAAAGAAACAAAGCTACAGTATAGATTTTGTACCTGGAAAGAATTGAGGTGGAGGGTGCATGTGTATGTAGTTGTTAATAGAGGTCATTGCCGATGCTAAATAGACTAATTGCTAATGAAGCTCTTTCCCGATGATCTTGAATATACACACAATCCTGTCCTTTATTCAAACTATTTGGCTGAAGAAATCCCTGTCTGTAGTATAAATGCATGTGTGTTCTAAAGAAATTTAGCATTAAAAAGAGTCGACTTGAGTCCTGGATTCCCTGAGTTCATTGGGGAGAGATTTAAGGCATTAAGTTGACTCAACAACATGCCAAAGTGGTTGGGCGTCATTCCCACAAAAAATTGTTTTGGAACAGGCCAAGTGCAGACCAATGTCCATGTGGTTTGCTGCTGATTTCTCCACTCTGGCTTTAGACAAATGTTAATTGCAGGCTTCAAGTTTACTAATTGCAAAATCTCTCCAGCTCCCTCTTATCCTCATTTGTCCAGTATGAGCCAGTGACCTGAGCGAGCTGGGCTAAAATTTCAGAATGGCGAAGGTTAGGTGAGATCACAAGAATTGCCAGCCAACTCTTGTATGTTGTGAAGGATTTGAACCCCGTCCCACTTTGGAGTCCCCAAAGCTCTCCTCGTCAAAACGGAGCGTCTCCAAAGGGAAGATTTGTAAGCTGATCTTCAGGGACTTTGGCCATTCTTACCAATGATCTTATTACTGAGGAACGAGAACCTTTTTGTGTGGCTGGAATAGTTGTGGAGTGCAGTGTCTTGGTGGGTGGTGGGGAGTACAAAAAAAATCGAGGTGGGATGACCGAAAGAGTGAAGGACATTAACAAATTACAAAAATGCAAACACAACCTCTTCCCCTGGCTACTTTTAAGTTGGGCAATGAAAGTCAGAAGAAACCATTCCCCTGGTTTTGCAACGATTGAATTAATTACGTGCAAGTAAAAAATTTACTTAACATTGTCGAAGGCAGCACAAATCCATTTCTGTACTGGGCTGCAAGAAAACTATACACAACCAGACACTTCTGCAGTTGATGGTCCTTTTTTCCCATGAATGGCTACAGTGGGGTATTTGTTTGTGTTCAGTGCCCTTGCCATGATTTTTCTGAACAAGAAATAAAACCGTGCCAGATTTTATTGACACTGGTTTGCCGGATCTCTTTTAGGTTAAGTTTAGATTCTTGAAACCGGTAAATCATCCTTAACAAGATATCTTCGTATAACTAGAGTGGAGAATATATGTATCTCCCAATTTGTTTTAATTTTTGCAACATAGTCGAATTATTATTTTTTAAAAGCAACTCTTAGCCTATTTTTGGATCTTTTGCGTGTTTTGGCAAATTGAACCACAACATATTCAAGTCCAAGACTGCTCTGGTAAGATGGCTGATTTGGTTTTGATTTTCCTTTGAAAAAAAAAAGCATCATCATTATAACGATCTGTAGATATGATGCTGTAGATGGCAAAGAGAGTTGTCCAAGTGTGGGCAATTAATTGCACTCAAATAGATCATTAGTGCAAAGAAAAAATTTGCATATATACCATCAGGTAGGTCGGAGTAGGCGACCAAGCGGGTTATTGCTTTGTGAAGTTTTACCATGCACTATTCTCACCCCATCAGTTTTATTTTTTTTGTTTTATTAGTGGCAACCTTTATCCACTTCCCTTTGCCTCTGTAGATGGATGGATGGATGGAGGATAGTCTGACAAAAAGCTGGATGAATGCTAGCGGATAGGGATGGATGATGGATGGGAAACCTATTTTATACTTAGATAGCATGTCCTTAACGGTCAAAGGACCCTCACTCTTGGAGATCTGATTCTGCTTGTATGGTGATCCTTACAGTATAGGCAAAATTGTCTCTTGTGCCAGTTTATTAGAGAAGTATATTAATTCTCTGTTTATCGCACAAAAACTTGTGCCATTATGAGCCATTGTCTTCCTCCCCATCTTCCATCCCCAACACTGTGCTGTTGGCTGGAAGGCTAAAATGGGATAAAATTTATTTACATACCTCTAAATAGTCCTTTTAAGACACATAACTAGAATTGACCTCCATCATCTTTAACAAAGGCAATCTGTTTTAACATTCTTTGTGCGAAGGCACATAGATTATATTTGTAAACGGACTGGGAAACAAAGTTCCTTTAGAACCAGATGCTGCCCCTCCTTTGCCTCTTCCACCCGGTGGAGTATTTCCATAAATAATCCAGTGGTCTGAGACCCTGTAGAGTCAGCGTTCCTGTCTCAGTTTTTCCGTACTATGCTTTTCCTCACATTCATTTGCCCGTTGTTTTTGAACATTTACCTTGGAGCAGGTGAGGATGTCATCTGATTTTCTTCTGAATATATGTCTAATTTGGATTGTTCCTCCTGCCCTTCTAACCTCAACCTCCTCCTTTTAATATGATTTCAAGGAAGAGGAGAGCAGATTCATTTTGCGAGGGGGCCAGAAATCCTCCCCTCTTTATTGCCCCCCCCCCATGAGTGAAGGTCATTGGCTAAGAAAAACGGGAAGCCGTGGGTGATGGGCTATGAGTCATAGACACACTTTCCTAGTTAAAAGCACCTCTGGGAAGCATCTATTGGTGAACAAATAAACTGATGAAGGCCAAGGATAATGAATACCTAAAAAAAATATACTGGAATCCCCAAAGCCCTAGAGAAATTAATAACTTTGCTCAGGGTTTAAATAATCATTTTATTGAAAATAATCATTTTAAAAAACGATGATTTATTTTGAATTCTTCCCCGCATGGCTTTAAAACATAGGAATATAACTAATTCTAAAAGTATGTGTGTTAATATCTCAGAGTCAAACAGAAGTTTTTGTATTTTTCAGCAGAAGAATAAAAAATGTCTCCGTCTTGAGCGTGATCACGCATTTTTTTATCCTGGGTCCACAGATAATGTGGGTTGGCTGAGCCTCAGTAGTTCAAGCTGAACTTCCAATAGTTGGTGGATTTTTTAAAAATTGAAACACGGGTGGTAGAAGAAGATCCCACACTCGAGCACGCATCCGCAGGTCGTGTTTTACACTAAAACGAAAGCATCACAAGGTTTCCGCACATCCCTCATCCATCAGATTAAGATTTTCCCGTCTGATGAGAGCCAGAAGCAGATCAATTCTCTTTAAACCCCACTTAACTATTTGCACCTTCTGTTTAGCAAACAGAATTTAAGGTTCTGCTGCATGTAGAAAACTATGCAACTATCCTTGATATTTGAAAACATTCAAATGTTCTTTTTATATTGAACAAAAGGCTGGGGCACATTCTTCACAATACAGTTTGCAAAGAGACCTGTGAACTTGGGCTGCATCCTCCTCGAGTTTCCCTATATTTCAACGGCTTGCTCAGGAAGGGGAACTTGGGGCAAAACAGTTGAACCTGGTAGAAAAAAAAATGTATATACCCATTGTGACCCAATCTGAGCAAGTTGGATCCACACCGTAGAGCCGGGAAACAGAGGCGTTCCACCCTTCCCAAGAGAAACCTCGTGCAGTTTGACTCATGCTGGATTCAGACAATGCAGCAACTCTAGATTTTAATCTCTTTTGAATTGAAGAGATGCAACAGGGCCCAAAAGTGCATTCTCTTATTCCCTCCTGCCCTTCCGCGCGGTTTCTTGTCTTTGAACGAATCGGACACTTCTGGTGTTTCGCTAATCTGAGGTTTTGCCCTGCCTGGCATTGAAGAAGGGCAAAAAGAAAATATAGGAGTCCCAGCTAAAGGCTACTTGTGCCATCTAAAGTAGGAAACTACTAAGGGGAGATGACTCTCTAAGGAGGCACCTTTATTGTTGCTTAATGCCCTTCAGACAGCAAGACTTTTGTCAACCATGGGCTTTCGATAAAATTCAGGTAAGGCTCTGCTGCCTGAAACTTCACTGGATGGCAAGATAAATTTTGTTTTAGCAGGTTCATATCCCTCTCGATAGTTTCCGGATGTTGCTGCTTAGAGGCCACATCTGATCATGCTTGTACATACAACACTAACCCTGGGTATTTTGTTGTTCCCCTCAAGATTTCTGCATGGCTTGTTTTGGGAGGAACCCCTTTGAATTCTTCTAGCTGTGAGGAAACAAAAGATCATCATGTTACCTGCGTATCCCTGAGAGCAGCTCAAGTCCATCTGTTATATAGCATATCGTCAAACAAGAGTCAAACCGCTGCTATTTTGCAAAGAAGGAAATAATTTGGATCCTTTATCCTAACCTGCTCTTCTTCTTATCCACATTCCGCCCAAAGCAAAACTCCCGGACAGAGCCAGTGTCACGCAGACACACATTTATATGCAACACACAGGGAGTTTTTCTTCCCTAGCTGCTCGCTTAATGTCTGCCTCCTGCAACTCCCTCTTTGGAGCTTCAGTATTAAATATCTGGAGCCATTTCCCTAGGGTAAAATCTTTCCCCTTGGAGCTTAGTTACTGAATCAAGCACGTGCCGTGTCTATCAATGGCTGCATTGAGAAGCTCATCTTCCATAGAGGCTTCCATAGTTTGCTTGAATCTTGGCACTTCTGTGCTCGTACAAAAGGAGCTCTAATGGAATGCATCCTGCACGTAGTTAGTCCAGTCGTGCTTCTTGCTGGCTTGTTGAAGAAGAAAGTTTGGCTACAACGGTGTGACATTTAGAGAGAGCAGCGCTTAACCAATGGTTGGGGAAAGAAACAACGCAGGGAAAAGCCCGCATTCTCGGGCAGGAGCTGAGGATCCAGACCCTCATTAGTATTTCTTAAGTAATTCTTACTGGAGGCTATCAAGGCCCCTACTTCATTACGTTGATTAAATACCACAAGGAGGCTCACAATCATATGGTCCAGACAATGGAGGAGAGATCCCCGTTTTATGTCAATGTTCATTGTTAATTTTTTTTTTCTACGTTCAAAAGGAAAAACTACAGAATGAATTACAACCACGAGTTCTCCATTAATTATGTTTGGAACCCACATCGTTGCAGATGAATTATCCAGTTGGGCCCTTTAAAGTGACATCCTGGAAATGTTAGCCAGGCATTCTGCACGATGGAGGTTGGGTTGATTAAAGACTGGGGCATTTGAGGGTTTCAAATGCCACATAAGTCCTACCATTGGAACTTAGAGTCTGGTGAAGCAGATGCAGATAAGGCTTGGTAAATGTGTCCCTTCAATAGCCTTTAAATTTTGCGTAAAACTTAAAACGAGGGTTTGTCTATCCACTTTACAGGATGCACCGATGAACCTGACCCTTTTTTGAAGATGCAGAAGCTTATTCTTGCATTTGCAGTAGGGTTTGCTTGTCTAAGCATCCTTTGACTAGTATTAGATCTAAAAAACTAAACCACACGTGTTTTGGCTTCACCATGTTGGATTATCCTAGACCATAACGGGCTCTCTTTGACCTCGGCTTAGAGTGATAGATGAACCCAGCCATAAACCATAGATTCACGGCTTTAGAGCAATCTAATGAGTAGGTCACTAAGGAATTGCCTAACAGACCATAAAGTAAAAACATTTTCATTTATTCTCATAGTGGAGCTCCTTTACTGAATGGAAAAAGAGGTCATCTATTTTCAACAGAGGAATTGAATCACTCTTATTTCAAGAATTGAGTAGACTAAATTTTCTCCTCTCCAGCGGGGGAATCCAAACCCATATACAGTTTGAACTGGCTAAAAAAAAGAGGGAATAACTCTGCCAGGGGTCAGAGGACGTTACATAATTCTACTGAAGTAAGTCAGTCTCCTTGAACAAAAGAGTTTTATGAGTTCTAGAAATGGAACATAGTTCAGAGTATGATGGATTAATGAGCTTTTTGCATTTAATACATAACAGAAACAGCCTTGAAACCAAAAAGGGAAACCTCCCCACAAATTAATGTTAATGGGTGGCAAAAGAGCTTATTTTGAATCTCATTTCTTCTTGTTTTCTTTATCCCCCTCTCGGAAACATACGGCACCTTTACTCTCTTTGCAGTGTTGTCCCCTCATATACGACAGTAATTCTCAACAACGAACCGTCAGAACTCGATTGTGCCAAGATGGTGGGCAGGAAGAGCCGTTAAGCCGAGCAGAACTGATTCACTGGAAAAACATCTTTTAGCAAAGTTAGTATTCGAAGGCAGTGGTCTCTTCCCTACTTTCTGGCTGTATGCACAGGAAACCCTTGCTCCAGTAGCTAAATCATGCAGTGGCTTTCCTGAGTTTCAGTTAAGAAATCAGTTAAGGGCCATGTAAACTGGCTTGAATTTGGCTTGGCCCCCAAAGTTCAGTTTGATGTATGTACTTTTACAAGCCCTCTCTAAGCATTTTACAGAGTCAGCACATTGGCCCCCAACAATCTGGGTCCGTCATTTTACCTCAGAAGGATGGAATCTGTAGTCAAAAAAACCTTAGAGCCGTCAAAAATCAAACTCCTAGGCTTTGGGCAGGAGTTAGTCTGCAATACTGTCTTCTAATTACTGTGCCACCGGATAGCCTTGTAAGTCAGCCAATCTGAGCTGGAGAGAAAGAGGGTCCACATGTGGACCCTTGCAACAAAATCCGTACTTCCTCTTCTTCTTTCTCACATCCTCCTCCTCAGTGCTGTTCCGGCGGAGGCAGGCAGACACCATTGTGGTTAAAGTCCCAGGCATGATGATAGCCACAACGAAGAATGAGAGGTGGTTCTGAAGCCTAGCGATTCGGTTTCATCAAACAGCGGCCAGCTAGGAAATCAAGAATATCGGAACAATGTCACCCTTATTACATTGAATTCTGAAGGTAAGCAAATCATCTTTGAAATCTTTGGGCTAGTCCCAGTGTTGGAGCCGTTTTAATCTTAGGTCTTTTTTAAAAAATGCCGTGTTTTGTTTGCCTCAGAGAGAGTAAGCAGTTCTTTTGGTGTTTCACTACAATAGCTTGTTTTGCTTCTGGGTTTTGCAAAAATTCTTTCATTAGCAATCTAAAAATTTTTCTCGCTATCATTTTCCAAATTATTAGCAAAGGTTTTGTGGAGGTCCATGGAAGAGCATTAAGCCAGGGACTCTGATTTGTCCTTAAATCAAACTCACAACCTGAAGCCTTAGGGCAGGGATAGGCAACCTTGGGCTCTTTATGACTTGTGGACTTCAACTCCCAGATTCCTGAGCCAGCCATGCTGGCTCAGGAATTCTGGGAGTTGAAGTCCATGAGTCCATAAAAGATCCAGGTTGCCTACCCCTGCCTTAGGGCTACTTGGAGAGGTTCAATATTTAGGTGTGGCTTCCAGAACCCCTTGCTGAAATTGAAGCCGCTAACTCCCCCCATCTTAATTTCCATTCAGATACCGTATTTTTTGTTGAGTATGAAGCAGAGATTTTGTAAGCAACACGTTGTCTTAGCATCAACTTTGTCTGGGCTTGGAAGCTCAGCTTTGGATGATGGACCATGAGTGAGTTTCCCGAACGCTGTGAGAGAGGAGAGGGAGGCAGTTAGACACCCCCCCCAAGAAGAGAGGGTGAAAAAACCACTTCTATCCTGCTGCCCAGAGTCTGGTAAATTGTCCAAGGGTAACTGGTAGTTGAAACTCCGAATTGAATAATTTTTTTAATATAGATGGGGTGGGACAAATCTAGGCTTCAGCTTTCTTTGCCACTATTGAGTCTAAATCAGTGTTTTTTTCTACCTTGTCAACTTAGAGGTGTATAGACTTCAACTCCCCGAATTCCCCATGCTGTCTGGGGAGTTACTGGGGAGTTGACGTCCATACATCTTAAAGTTGTCAAGGTTGGGAAACCTTGGATTGATTTAATAGATCTTTGTGTTGTGTTTAAGAAACAGAATTACATTTCCAGGGCAGTTTGTGAGCCTCAAAGTAGAGTGCTCATTTGCATGATTAAAAAAAAAAAAAAAAAAGACACAGAGGTCTTCTCAAACTGCTCTGATTCTGCAATCATAGTCTCCATGTTGGAAACCAGCTCTGTGGAAAGAAGTGCATTTCCTTTAGGAAGCAACAGAAGATGCACAGCAGACTGCCTGCTGAAACTTATTATGCCCGATTCTTGTGAGTTTGAACTTTTCTGAAAGTAAACAGTTCTTTGGCAGATTTCTAACAATAATTTTGAAAACAGGAAATTCCCATCAAAGAGATGTATTGTATAGCACCCATAGGCCTTGTCAGCAATTTATCAGTTTCCAATGTCCCCCCTCTCGACCTCTGTTCCCCCCTCCCAATCTCAGAAAATCACCATTGCTGGAGATGCAACCATTTGGAATATGTCTCATGATCCTCTCATTTTATGATGCGTATTAAATTCACATATACTTCAAATTAAACATTAATATCAAGATCAGCACAGAGGAAACGCTGTGGAAAAGAATACAGCGTTAGATGAATTGTTGATTGAATTTGGTTAGAGGGAAGAAGATACCATAATTCTGAGTAAGAGCCGTTAAGCAGTTAAAGTAAAAAAAAAAAAAAAAAACAAGCAGGGGAAGACTAAACTTTTTTTTTGACAGAAAGCAGGAGTTTGTGGGTGAAGATGATACCAGTTTATTAAAAATTGGAGGGCTTCCCTTCAGCTTAGTCACTTTTATTTCCCATCTTAAAGAATGCAAGCATGACAGTAGATTTAACAACTCAAATTCTTCATTCTGTAAGAGTTTTTGTGTTGCAATACATAAAACTTGATAGTAATTTGGTGGAGAGTGTGTTTCTGTTTGCAAAAATTCAGTTATGTAAAATGGGTATTATCTTCCTTCCCCGATGGAAACTAAATCATTACCTAATAGTTAGTTTTTATTGTGTATTTGCTGGATAACAGTTGAAAACTCCTCGCTCCAGTATATATAATAGAAAGCCAATAATTTTTGAGTAATTTTCTCAGCTGTTTTTTAAGGGAAGTGATTTTTTTGTGATGTAGTAAAAAAATACATCGTTGGCCTTACCTTTTCATCATAATTTGTTGGCACATTTACAGACTGACAGATGTTGGCTTTTTAATAGGATTATTGTATATAATAAATGCTGGGGGCTTATAACCAAAGGAAAAGACTTGAGAATATATAGTTTCCTTATTGATCAGTCCGAAGCGGTAACCTTTTAAGTAGGAAATTTTTTTTTAAAGTCATGGATAAGTTTAGAAAGCGGTCTTGGTTCAATTGAATTTAATGTCTTCTTCTGAGTTTTGCTGATGGTTAAGAGATGTTAGGGCAATGTCTATTTGGTACAATCATCTAATTTTCTTCAACTTTTTTTTTTTTTTGGCTGTTTTGGATTTCCTCAGCATGGGGTGACAATCAAAGAGCTTCAGATTTATCTTCTTAGTTGGGCCAAAGCAGGCAATAACTGACACATACTGTCCATTATGCTTAAATCATCTTGCCTTCCATTTTAGATCATGATGTCGAGGGGCTTTTGGGAACCCCAGCAGTAGATCACGTTATTCCTCAAATTCCAAAAATGTCTTTCTTTTCAGGATTTTAAAGAGTGTAGCATTTTCTGCCATGAATATGGAGCTTGTTCGCTTTCTCTAGTTTTGGTTCACGAGTCTTGGCTGCATTTATGCAGAATGATGAATGGTGAGATTTGGTTTAGACAAAGAATAATTTTACAAGAATTGATCAACAAAAAAACCCGGTTAACAAAATAGGAAAAGTATATTATGTTCTCGAAAAGAAACAAACTTGGGGCCAGGACCTGTGACAGTTAATTAACGCGACTGCAGGGCTTTGTACTTTCACGATTGGTTCCCGAGGCCTAATGTGATGACAAACCTGAAAGAGGCAATTATATAAGCATCTATGCTTGAAAAATGTGCAATTTAGACACCCATAACTGTGAGAATTCACAATTGCTTGAAAATATCGCAGTCTCATTTCAGCAGGAGCAATGTCTTTCTCTGTACTCCTGGTGGTTATTCACATTTTCGCTGATAAAGTGAGAAGAGACCAGATGTTGACATACTAGAGCAGCAAAGTCTCTCCTGACAAGTTAGCAGAAGCCTAGTTTTAACTCTGCACTCAAGGAAGCAGCTCACCTACTTTACATTTCTTTATAAACGTTTATCTAGATCAGGGGTAGGCAACCTTGGCTCTTTTATGACTCATGGAACTTCAACCCCATGCTGGCTCAGTGAATTCTGGGAGTTGAAGTCCAACGAGTTATAAAAGAGCCAAGGTTGCCTACCCCTGATCTAGATGATCTGTGGAGACCATCAGATGAATGAAAAAAGAATAGTCCCTGAACAACAAACAGATTGCTTTTGGGGACTCCTTCAAACAAAGTTTTCCCTAGTTTTTTCCTGCCTTTTTTTTTTAACTTCTCCCCTTCTTGTGTGACTTTCCTTATGTGTCCTTAGCCATTTTTCCTGCAAATGAATTTTCCATTGTCCCAAGAATGCCATGGTTCTCCTTCTCCCGACATTTGGTGGTAACTTTTTTACATGTGCTTAGAAACCCTTGAGTGACACTGCTCTGGTCCAAAATAATTTATGGTTCTCGCTTCCAAAGATTGAGATCATTTTTCTGGATTTGATTTCTTGATCACATTTGAAGATCTTTCATGGTCATAAATCTCTCCATAATGTAAAACAAACAAATTAACCATCCAAAACACCAGTCCCCAGCAATCAACTTGTCTTGGCCAAAGATAATACACTGAGTGAACCAGCCAGTATATTTGGTAGAAATTGGATTAGCTGCATTGGGGAAATCAAGGCATAATCTGCTGAACATGATGTTCAGGCATTTAACCAGAATGAGAGTTTGAGGTAGAGCTCTACTTTTGCTGGACCAAGAGTTTCTGTGGGGAAGGGATTGTTGTATGGGATGGAGTCACTTAAAACTTGCTCCTGTATAACACATTCAGTTATGCAAATAGTCCCATATGTGTTTACATCTAGACAATGCACGGGTCTCAAGAAGGAAAGAATCTAGCCCATCCCCATCACAGATTGACTCATGACCTGTCAGATCAAATATGGAAGGCAGTCCAGATACTCCCTATTACTCATGTTCATAGTTTGTCATCTCTGAATTTGGGCTCTATCAAATATGCCACTGTTCCTTAGACAAATTATGGAACCTGGAAATCCCTTTCTTCATATAAGCTGTCCCAAAAGGTCCAGCTTCAAAAAGGGAGGCACAGAAAAGAGTCATAATCTCTTGTCCCAAAGCTTCTTGCCATCACTGTGAAAGCCCGATGCTGGATTTCAATGCCTCACATATAAAATTGATATTTTTATCATCTCATGCTGCATAAATAAAGCTCTTAGACTAAGCCAGTGGTTTCCCAAACTTGACAATTTTAAGGCATGAGACTTCACTCTCCAATTCCACACCAGCAACGCTGGCTGTGAATTCTGGGAGTTGAAGTCCACATGCCTTAAAATTGTTCAAGTTTTGGGAAAACACTGGACTAAGCGAAGTGATAAATTCAGCTGACATGCAGAGATTTGAATGAGCATGCCCGGTATGAGAGCCTAAGCCACCTCAATAAAAAAGCTGCTTTTTCCCCACTGCGTTTTTCTTCCAGGATCTTTCTGATAGGCATTTATTTGTCTGGGGGGAAAAAACAAGGGGAAAAAATTAATACGAGAAGTAATAAAGAATGTATGTTATTGTGTTTGATTTCCATCTCCTCTTCTATGTTTTCTAGAATGTTGCTTACTTTGAGAGGTATAGCACGATTGATATATATATCCCACCCACACACAACCAGGTGCAAAGTGTACTACACACGTACAAGAAAGAGGTTTGTCTTGGTCAGAGCTGTTTACACCTCATGCATCTCCTATCACTGG